TTCTCACTGTAATTTACATAAACTTTACCCAGCAGACAAATTTTGGCGAGCAATTCTTCATTTAGAATTCTATTAAAAATGCCGTAGATCATCCTAAAGCTCTATTTTGTTTCAAGCTTTCGTATATATTCATTTAACCTACACAAAGTTAAAGCGATTAAAAGTTCCTCTTTTCGATTTAATTATGATGCAGTCAGTCAACACTCAGGTGGGGAAAGATAAGCGGAAATTAATATTTAACGCTTTATCACAGTAGAAATATCGGAGAAAAGTATACTTTTCTCACTCGGCCCATCCATATTTCAAAAGTTCGTTATCGAGTGCTTTTCATTGTTTTTCATCTCCTTCCTTTGACATCTTTGAAACCATTTTTCGATAATGCCACATATTTTATTTTTGATAAAACATCACGGTGTCGTATAAATCGTGCAGTTTCCAAAGAAAATACAAATAACTTTCTTGTTCATATCGTGCTTCCATCTCTTTTATCATCCGACTGAATGTAAAATAAGTTCCGTTAGTTATGTTCCATTCCATTTTTGAAACCCTGCTTCTATTTAATAAAAGAAAAAAGTCACTACTAACCGTATTTCGTAATCCGTATCCACATGAATAAAGTAGTGAAGCCTTGTTTTAAGAGAATTTTATTTCCTCATGAAAACAGATAGGAATTGTATTTATAGACTCATAACAAACTCCCCAGTGCTATCCGGAACCCTTCTAAGGCGTTTTTAGGACTCCGTGCGTTCGAAACCTATCGCTTGATCTCCTTATAGTGCCACCACAATATCAATTTAAATAATCAAATAGAAATAATAAAATAAAATTAAAAAACTTCATTTTAATAATTAAACCGTTTTTCTTTTCTCATAAAAATGATTGCTTATGCTTTAATTCTAAATCTTAACAAGTTCTTAAAACAAAACTCTGACAACTATCTATCACCACATTAAGATTCAAATAAATTTAGATTTCAAAAACAATCATTAATGTTGTGTTAAATTATTCAGAAATTAAATTCCAGTAATCTCCTGGATTTGGTTAATAAACAATGTTAAATTCAATATTTAGTTATCTAACAAACAACCACTACATATTGCCTTATTTAAATTGCTCATGCATAATAGATTAATACTAAACTGAACACAATTTTGGAATTAATATTTAATTAAAAACAACAAAATTTATTTAAACAATGCCTACTCGCCACGCGTATACACGTTGTACATGGCAACATTCATAATCTGTTTTTTTTTAAATTATTATCTTGAAAGTTACTCAGATCAAATATACCTAAATAAATTTGTATAGTCGCTTTGTCAAGCTTTTGAGTAAATCTTCAATGAGGAAATGGCAGTCACGTCAACAAACATAAAGAGTTTGCAATTTTTTGACCTCGACATGTAGTCGAGGATGCTCCTTTTTAACATTTGAAAGCATCAAAAGCACAAAGTAAAGATGTAAATAGAAAACACATGTATATAGTAGCAGGTATATGTATACAATTATTGATAACCATAATTATCACACATTTCATTAGCTGAATAGATTAGCTATACAGAGTGAGTCATATATAATAAAGACCCTAATCGATTCAGTCTCACAGATAATTTAGCTTTTGTTGCATTTGCATTTAAATTATTGATTTTAAATCAAGGTAATTGTTGATATGTCATGCATTAAACATGACAGTGTCATCAATTCCACTTTTTTTCCGCTTGAATTCGAAATATACTCAAACGACAAAAAAAAAACTAACATGATCTTGATGTATGAAGAATGCCACAAAAATGCTGTGGCTAAATCTGTACCGTCAAAAGTACACAGTAGGACGCAAAGTTATAAAAACTGCCAAAGCTATCGCAGATATCAATGTTTATAACTTTGAAAAATTTCAAACAGTACATCAATAACGCATAGTGGCACCTGAGAATGTATTTTGGGTTGCGTCTGAAAATCAGTCAGGGTCTTTTTTTATACAGGGTGTTTCACACAACTTTGCGAAGCTTGCACCTAATGTACACACCCAAATATACAAGAGTCTCAAAACACTAGATACAAAAAATACACATTTATTAATCAGTTATGTAATTTTTGGAAACCCATGACAGTAGTTGTCAAACTAATCACTCTTTCATTAATAGCCATAAACTGCAATATTTCAAAATTCGTAATCGAGTTCGTATCGGAATATGTAAAGTTTTTTTTTTTAATGGAAATGCCAAACAGTCTTAACGTTGGCACCACTAGTAGTAATTTCATGGTAATTTTAATAAAGGAAGTTGGCAGTTCCAGWTTTTTGAATTACTTTAAAAACAATGTCATTAAACGTCAACACAAAAAATCGTCTAAGAAAATTTAGAGACAAAACACCAAAAAAGGAACAAATTCAGTAGCGCTAACAGTTTTTAGAAATTTTGGAAACGAATAGTTCACAAGCAGGAAGTTAGAAAAAGGGCCKGTTAAAATGTAGACGCAATTTGTAGTGCAGGTTAGCTAAAATACTCAATTTTAGCAAAAAATTGACAAGAATACAAAATAAACATGATTGAGAAAAAACCTTGGAAAGAAAGCAATTAAATTAGTGTCTTGTGCATCGTTTTTGATGAACGAGTTGAAAAAGTAACAATTTTGAAACTAAAGCTGAAGAATTTATAAAGTGCATCAACTTTGAGCTCATTTGAATAAATTACACAAAATTTACTGCCAATCATCATAATACCTACTTGTATCTTTTGCTAAATAACTTTTTTCTGTATGTACATCCTTTTTCTCCAAAGCTTTTTGTAGCAAGAACCTCATTTTTGCCGACAACATTGTACTTACTTACTGCGGTGTGTTTCTATCAAAATTATTAGGACTGAATTCTGTCTTTAGACCTTAGATAATGATGCCTGTCATCAGGTATTCAATTATAGCGCTTTCAAAGAGCAAATAGGCACACAAGATTCATAAAAGTCAAAATTTTGATAACATCTCAATTTAGAAACATAACCATAATTTTTTAACGAAATTTCTAGAAACAAAAACAAAGACCAAACAAAATTTGTGGCAATGGAGAAATTTTCACCAAAATTTTGACTTGGTAATTTCCATTTAAAAAAAAGAACAGACTTTATTATTGATTGCATCTTTGCTTTTTCTTAATTTTGTTCAGCATGTAAAATCATATCGTGTGATACATTGTTGTGATCAGGAACAAAAAGACTTTTCAAAAATACAGAAATCAAATATAGCGTCCATAAGAAAATCCAAAGTTGAGTGTTGTAACTCTGACATTAAGAGCGCCTTGGAAAATACGATGACAGATTTAGATTCCTTGCAAAAAAGTGCCTTAAGAACGTACTAGTTAAAAACGTCTTTTAGTTTTCGCTTAAAAAAATAAGAACAAAAATTACAAATTTCCGTTTTTTCCAATAATTGAAAAACTAAAAATGACACAATAAATTTTCTTTCAGATAATTGTTTAGCATAAAAATGCGCAACTTTGTCCTGATTTAACCGACCTCATATCTCTTATAATAACTGAGATTCCCATGGTGGAACTTGAAAAACGGACACCCTGTATATATGCGCATATTTTCAGTAATTTTACTGCATAAAAATTCGAACTCTAATGATAACAAAACGTGTTGTTTGTTACAAATTAGATAACACGTTTTGTTATCATTTTTAACAAACTTCTTGATTTTTGAAATTGTAGACCTTTTGTCCCTTTCTCCTGTAAAGCACCGCAAACATTATTTTTCTAATATTTTTGAGTAATAAATATTAAAAAATTAGATGTTTACGTCAAAGAAATCAAATTATTTCAAAGTGGTTTCAGATAAAGCACAAAATTTAATGCTTAAGACTTTTTGCATACATTTTTTTTAATATTCTAACATTTAAAGGTCAACAATAAACTTTATACAGTGTGATTCAAAAGAATCGGACCAACTCTCGAATGGTGACAGAACAGCAATAGGTCAACAATAAACTTTATACAGTGTGATTCAATAGAAGCGGACCAACTCTCGAATGGTGATGGAAGACTTTCAGCTAAGCGTAAAAATGAATGCAATTTTTTTTCAACCTTTTGYGAGAAAAAACGGAACTGACAATTTCCATATTATCATGTAGGCACCTTAGCTCTTTCGTTTCCGATGTTGTCGGATTTAATGTATTATTGTATTTGCTAGTTTGTTAAATGTTTTGTACACCATAACACACAAATTGGTGATTTTTTTTCAAAAGGTAWTCGTTTAATGTTGTAAGATCTGCCGTTTCCGCTAACTAAATTCAAGAATACATGATCTGAACAAACAAAAACTTAATCCAAAATCTAACCCTTGAAGAGCTACATATCGTGGAAAAAAGACTCAAGCAATTTTTTGTGATGGAAACTTTTGACTCACTTTATCACCACCCAAGAAATGGCCCAAGACTTTTAAATCACTTTGTATTGCCTGAAATGAATTTCAAATTTTATCAAATTTTGGAGAAACACTAGGAGAAATAAGATCAACATAATTTTCTTTAATAATAATGCGAAATTCCAATTTTAATATTTTAAAACAGCATTTTGCTGTGTTTGTAAACAATCAATCAAAAAATTAGGAACAATTTGGGCAATTAATGTTCAGCTGTATTCATATTTTTTATCGCCCCTGTATATTATTTTAAGTATAATAAACCCCCTCCCCCTAAACTGTAAATCTGGCTGCGCTACTAGTTGGCCATGAACAGCAAATTAAAATTTTCATCATCAAATTTTTATATTAAATTTCTTTAATTTCATCGGAATTTATAAACCTTTTAAAAATGTATGTAAAAAAAATAATTATTATTTTTCCACATAAAAGATAACTCGAATTTTTTGAAAAATAATAATAAATTACCGAAAACATATCAACTTTTATCGAGCCAACCTCTAATTCACCCTTTTTCGCAAAAGCCCAACATGTAAACATAGTGACGAAATCGCGATTAAGGTTAAAACATGCTCTCTGAAAACTAACCTGGTTTCTGACGTTGATAACCAGCTGCGTGTCACTAAAATCGACAACGAGACTCAAAAGTACGACCAGGATGTTGAAAAAACACCGCCAATTCTTCATTTTGGTCATTTTCGGTCGTATTTTTTCACAATTTTGACAGTTCTACAATAACACCAACCATCACGTCAATTGTCAAACGTGCAATGCGGTGCGATAGGCAACACGCGTTTCATTTAAGAAGCACATTTTGCCTTGCGCAGAATCCATACCATGAAGATATCGATTCGTGTCGCTTCGTTGCGATTCGGTTACCAACTTTAACAGAATTTGTCGGGGAAAAACAAACATTAGGTATTTAACATTTAGAGCAATCACAGAGTTGACATGTGAAAATTTTTAGTTAGAAAAAGACAGAAATAAGTAATGAATCGATCCAAACTCATTTTTAACAACAAAAAGCGATGAAACAACGCGTGGTTTTTATAGTTATTATTATTGAATTATGAGAAACAAAATGGACACATTAACAAATGTGAATTATAATTAGATTTTAAAGTAGAACTTGACACTTTTAGCGTATTAAATACCTACTACATTTGTTTGGTAAATCTGAAATATGCTTTTCTTTGAAAAATTTTTGATGCTGCATTTCCTTTCCACATTTTGATGATTTTAAATTCAGGATTAGAGCAGATTTATTCAGGGAAATGTTTTTATCTAATTTACAACTGTCATTTACAGAAGGTTCCTTTGGTAATTAATGCAAAAGTAACAGCAAAAAGAAGAAYAAAACTGTTTTGGGTGCAGAAAGGGTTCAGAGTTAAATGACTAGAAACTCATTTCAAATTTGCGCGTTATTAAAGTATTAAAATTAAATTAACAGTTGAATAGGTTTTGTTTTGCAAGCTGAGGCGAGCAGTTTCAGTAAACTTATTAAAAAATMAAATAAAATAAATGGCTGTAAAAAGCTTAGTTTTTCAATTAAGAATTTCAAGAGGACGGAAAAAATGAAATTCCACAACCAACTTTTAATTTAATTAATTAAGCAAAAAAAAAAACAATATTAAAAATTAATATGCATTAATAGATATTCTGAATTTTTAACTGCAAATCTCAAAATAACTTTGCAAACTTTTTTATGTCTAACATATTATGCTTTAATAAATAATCGGATTAAAGTTGCATTCCTTGAATTACACCCTTGAGCTCTACACTTTTCTGGTTCTCTCAYTATTATTAATTCATACCTACTGTGAACGCTGCTACATAGTTTTTTATTTATAGTTCTTGTTGGAGACTGACACTAATATTTTATTCATCTTTTAACATAAAAATATTTAAGAAAATCTCATAATAAATTAACGAAAAAATCATTTCAAGTTTTAGTTAAAAAAAATAAGGAAAAAATAAGAAATAAATTGTTAGGAGCAARGARAGATCAATATTCAGAGCGCCCAATTTTTATTGAAACCACCAAGTCGAAGAGATATTAAAAATAAGTTTTAGGATTTGAACTGTTCAAGCATTCATCCAGATCGCTCGCTTCCTTTTAACATTCACTTTTGCTTCGGTTTTATGAGCATTACGTGTATGTCCATAACGTTGGTGCCCGTGTGTCCAATTTTGATAAGATGTTCTCCTCGCATGTATTTGGAATAAAACGTGTAAGAATCGTTATTGTTTAAATAATCTTCTGGTTTAATGTTCTCCTTGAGACTATTATTAACTAAATCCGAAGTTCCAATTGCTCCAGCAGCGTCAGTTGGGCCGTCTATTCCATCTGTTCCCGCACTGAGAAATGAAATATCCGCCGATTTTATGTTAAGCTTATTAAGTCGAACCGAAAGCTCTAAAGCTAATTGTTGGTTGCGTCCTCCTTTTCCACTGCCATTGACCACAACAGTCGGCTCACCGGCGGCTATTACACAAACCTCTTTGCTAAAATCAAAGCTAATTAGTGTATCAATGGCGGTGGAATCGATCTGCAGCTCGTACGACTGTAGGAAATCTTTCACTGTTTGTTTACTCGATGAATTGCAAATGGTGCGTGCCAAATCGGCATAAATTTGACTTATCATCCCCACATTGCCTGTAACCGAGGTTGATATTATTGTTGATTGAAAACCGAAAGAAGCTGCGTGTTGGCGTGCCGCTTCCGCCGCGATTTGATTGTTTCCTATTATGAAGTTGTCGACGTGCTCGTATTTTCCATCTCTAATTGGCGGAAAACAACCGCGATTTTCTCTTTTCTGGACTAGAACACCTTGCATCGCGCCTGAAAGGCCCTCGTAACAATTGTATTTGTTGATGATTGCGATGGCGGCATCGCCATTATCACAATTGGGTGTAGTCGGACCGCTGGCGATAAAATCCAAAGGGTCTCCAACAACGTCAGATAGAATCAACGAGATAACTCGGGAAGGAAAAGCCAACTCGGCCAATCCTCCGCCTTTTAGCACAGATATTTGCTTGCGGACACAATTAAGTTCTAAAATATCCGCTCCCCGAGTCGATAATTCCTTAATCAAATTCTGCTTCTCCTTCAATSTAATTGGGGGTTTGGGTAATGGTAGCAAAGCGGACCCACCACCAGACATCAGCACTAACACCAACTCGTCCTGTCCTAAACTTTCCACAAGAGCTTTAATCTCTAAAGCTCCACACAAAGCTTCCTCATCAGGAATATTATTCGGGGCTCCTTCGATAAATTTAATCTTGGAATGGATTTCAAAATTTTTAAATATTCCCTTTGGTACTGTCACTACTCCCATCTTTAGGTTGTCCTTCAGAATTTTCTCAAGTTCTAAAGCCATGCCTAACACAGCTTTGCCGAATCCTACCAAATAGCAAGGTTTGTGTAACGGATAAGTTCGACCACAAACCGTTAGATGGCCCGAGTTGACACTCACTTGTTTCGTGATAAGGTTTTGAGGTTGTACTGAATCCACTGATTTCAAGAATATTTCTTTAAGCACTTGCACTGACATTTTTCTCTTATGTAACTGACTATTTGTAATTGAAAACTTCACTAAATTAAGCATGGCAACACAAACCAGTGACCTTTAAAGCTAGATAAGATACAATTAAATTCTAATAATACTTTTAGAGCCATCTTTTGGTGATAAGAACACTTACAATAAACTTGTATAGAACACTAACCACATTAGTCGCAATAATTACAGTGACTATATTAAAATTAATATGACTATATTAAAATTAATACAATCACTGTAGTCGCAATTCTCTATAAAAATATTTTTTTATGCGATTGAGCTTTATTTAATTGTTTACCACGTCTATTTCCAAGACAGTAAGTTGTATTTACTCGTTGCTAATTTGCTAATCCAAACTGGTCGGTAGGTAAGTATTTTGTTCATCGTTGCTAACGACAAACTCGTCTGTATCTAAGTCTACCTACTCAAAGTCGTCGCCAAAGTATTTTGACGTTCTAGAACGGTTTTAAGTAAATTTGTTACATAATTTTTAACAAAATTAATAAACATCAATCGCGCAAAAAATGTCATAAGTATCACGCACGTTAATGATTAATGATCTCAGACAAACAATCGTCTTCGATCGGTAAAATGTCCTTACCYGTCTTGATGCTTATAAGTACCTACTATTAATTACAATTCGATTATTTACATTTTTTTCACAATTTTTTTGATTTAGTTTGGAGAAAGTTGTGTTTTGATTAGTAAGGTAGCACATGTAGATAAACAGAAATGGGGAAAGCCGAATGCTTAAATTAACACTTTTTATTCCGCAAATTTTAGCTTTTAATTAATTGGAAAAAATAATTACAAGTAGTAATATATTATATTATTGTGTATTATTAACAAAAGGACTTACTCTTTTTTTTTGATTCTTAACTTGAGGTGGGTAAATACTAAACACCTGGAGCATTCCTTTGCAGCTCGGTACACTTCAAATTTCTGAATGTTTAGAAAAAATTTGAAATTTGCTGTCAACTAGTTTTAAGTATAAAAATATATGAGATAACTACTTAATGTTTTTTTTATGGCTTCAACAGTGCAATAAATAATTTCGATATTTAGATACATCAGCTTTTTTAAGTTTTGAAGCTAATTGAGTAGAGTCTAGAGTGGAAAACAAGATATGCAAAATTCCAAATCAAAATTTATCTTTATACCAATAATAATAGTTATTTATTTATTATTCAAGACGATAAAGAAAAACTACGAGTGAAAAGGTTAAGTTTACGAGTGACGAAGTCACGAGTGGACTTTTTTCACAATCTTTATCGTCGTGTTTCATATTTCGTTTTATTTTGTACTSACCTACCGGAATTTCTTGAATCTAAACAGTAGATAAAAATTACTTTATTTCACTAGACGATAAAAGACTACTTTATCTACTGAAATTATTTGATAAAAGCACTCTTTAACATTGAGTACAAAATATAGGTATTTTTTTAATTACACATTTAAAAAGTTTCTACAGGCTGGATTATAAAACACACCCTAAACTATAACTTTATTTTTTTTTAAGTTATTACAATACTTTAAAGTAGAACAGTTTTTTGTTATCAGTCGTTTGCTTATCTTAATAAAAAAGTTTATTCTGTCAATAGCCTAGTTTAATTAATTTTTCACTAACTTTTGCTTTTAGGCATTGAAAGTTACACAGTGCCACTTATTTATTGTTTTAGGCAATAATAGTCATAAATAATAATTACTGAGCTTTTTGAAAAACAAGACAATTTAAAAATAAAAAATATACAGGTATTCCATTCAAAAAACTGAAATTGATGTCACTTTCGGTGAAACAAGAAGCAGCATTATCATTAATTGGGCATTTATTCCAAAAAATAGATGATAATAAACTGTGCAACTTTGTTCTAAGGAGTATTGTCATATTATTTTTAAAAATAAGGGAATTATGGCTTTGAATGTTTTTTGTAATCCATTTTGTATACAAAATGTATAAAAAATGACGCATAAGTTGTCTAGTATGGTATAGGAAATCTTCCAAGAAACCTCTAAAAAATGTATTAAAAAAGCCACTGTTATTCAACAAATTTATTAACCCAAAACTGTATGGTATATAAAATTGGTATAACATTCTCAATATTTCGGTATATTTGCTGAACCTGTGTTTTAATTATAATAATGTATTAAAATTTTCTTTTATTTCTTTTATTTTATTAGATTATAAGATTAGGTCAAAATGTAAATGGTAGTAAATTATAAATCAATAAGAAAATTATTGTAAATATGTAGGTAATTACATTCGGTTAATTAGTAATAAACCACTGAGCAAAATGTTGATCTACTGAACTTAATTTAAATTTTGGTTTACATGCAAATTAAAAACTGTTTTACTATTCTACTTTCGTATTATTTTCTTTTTTGAATAGCATACTTATGTAACTATCATACCTAATGTCATCTGGGGAAGCTAGGAAACAAAAAGTATGGTACCAAGCGTATTTTGCTTGAACTACATATTTATTTTTGGCATCTCGTTATAAAAATTTGATTTTACGGATTGTGTTATTTTTAAAACAATGTGCAACTAACAATCAATTATAATTTAATATTAAAAATTTTGTGGWTAAGAAACTTCATATTTCGTTGTCAATGTTCTTACGTAAAGAATTTTCAATTTTACGATGCGAAATMATTTATTGGGGATAGTTGCGTTCGGAGGGACGACAGCAAGCTCAGGGGTTCGTTTTATGGACACGACATTTTCAAATCGACTGACTGTAAGTTTACTCATCTCTGGTCGGTGCGAGCACAAGAGCGTTTGCAACGAGCGTTTAGACGAAATAAATGTTCAGCCAACGGTTCGTATTGCATATTTGCAAGAAACAAATTAAGATATTTGTGGAACACCGCATTAACCGAGCATCCATAGGATGTTCGCAGCATGTCCATAATATTTGCGTTACATTATTTGTTTCATTACATGTTACATTACAGTAGTGTGTACTCGGCTTTATACAGTTTAACAAAAATGAAAAATATTAAATTGCAAGACCACAGAAACGTTGTTAGAAAAACTTAAAAAGTTAAAAAGTTAAAGATGCAAGTCGTCGAATTGAGACTGCTAACTATAAATTAAGAAGTCTAAAAAGTTTTTTAGAAAAGCGTAGAAAACACAATGTAAGAATATTAACTAAATTAAAGAACTTTAGAACAAAGAGAGAGTAAACTTGTAAACGTAGAACCAAGAACAAAAATTTAATAAAAAGAAAATATAAAAAATGAATATTTAAAGTATTTGTTTTTGAATAATTGGAAAAACGGCGTTACCAAATAGGCTGTATGACATTTTTGAAAAGCGCTTGTTATGAGTTTTCCAACGATGTATCACAAATAGAGTAGTGCCATTTAAAATTTTCAACTTGGGGTGGCTATGGCTTCAAGGGTGGATGAAGGTACGTCATTTACCATGTCARTTTGATCCCTCTTAGGAACCACCAAAACGGTTTTGAGTGATTCCCAATAACTTTTTCAGTTATAGAGATATTGCCGATTGCAAGTTTTATTGACACCCTGTATATCATATAGGTAAACGTAAACTAGTAGAATTTAAGAGACAATCATTTCTTTATGTTTGAAGAAAAATGAAAAAGTTTTTTAAAAATACTACAAKCATAAAAATAAAATAGACTAAAATAGGTAATAAATTACATTGACTTTTGTAAAGTAACAAAGTTTAATAAAGTTACATCGATACATAGGTATGTACTTAATTTACAAGAAAATTTTTCAAGCACTTTTTGTTATGATGAAGTAAARATAACGCATAATAATAATTAATAATACATCCAATATGACCCAATTTATGATTTGAATGAAACTGCGTACCTTACATAAGCGACTACCTATTACCTGGGCTATTGTCAAACGCAACTTTGCATTATCAAACATTATCGAAGCTGAAACAAATTATTATTGAATCTTTTTATTTAACCACTTGTTGTTTTATTATGTATGTAGYTAAAATATTTATTCTAGAATTTTCCTCCATCATGGGTTAGTTTCGCTAAGTCGCGATCAAGAAACTTGCGATAAATTAGTTTCTCCTAAAGTAATACTCTTTGTTTAAGAAGATAAGTACAACTCAATTATACTAAGTAGATAGTTTGGTTTCTTCCCGTTTCGTGTTGGTAACAAAGTAAAAAAAAATGTTACTTAACATCCGACGACACATTTTCAAAAAAATGATGTACGGAAGCATGGAATAATTGATGGTACTGTAATAGGTACCGAAACATTAGCGCCTTCGCGAATTTTCTCCCTCTTACGCAACTATGTGTTATCAAAAATTCCCATGTGTAATATCTAATAACCCGGTGAGAGTCGCGATATAGAGGAGGTTGTAAAAGTGAAGGTACTCTTCGTACGACGATGCATACAACGATTGACCATCGTACAAGTCGCTTGATCGACTTTCACTAGCACATGTTTGTGTTCTTTGAGTCAAAAACACTCTAATAAAATAAAACAGGGCCAATGCTAGGATGACTGGTCATCGAAACTTGCCGGTATTTGTGACAGTGAAACGAGAAAGTGTGGTGATTATTGTTCTTTGTTATTATCTTCTTTTCTTCGCGTTTACCGGTAAGTCATATTTACTAACATCTTCTAGAAGAAAGAGAAAGTGTAAGTAAGAATTTGTTTTTATGAAAGTTTATGTGTCATGTGGAAAAATTGATATTCTTTGCCGGTGAAGGTTAAGGATTAAGGTTGCGGTCGCAACCAAATTAATTAACTGATCTGTTTTGATCGGAATTTTTGCAACATCACTGTCACTATCACTATTACAGTTAAATTATTCTTGTGGGTGTTCCCCCAGAGAATTAATATTCATTAAACTAATTATTTTATTTTCCATAGTAGWATTATAAAATACGTGTTCCTAGTTCTGATTTTAGATTTCAGCACAAAGCAGATACAAAAAATGACCGAATTTGTAGAACAATAGAATCATTTATTTATTGTGTTGTGTCTATTTGTCTTCGATTTTTTTGGAACTTTCACTGACACAAAATTTATGTAAATATTTTTAATATCTGACATTTTTTTATTCACTCAAAAGGAAAAGTGTATAAGAAACCTGCGGTGAAATTAATAACATGTTACATTGCAATTTCGTATTATTATACAAATAATAACAATCTGTCAGTAAATCTCACGCGCTATTATGCAATAGACTTCCTTGAGGTAAATGACATTTTTTCGTCTGGGGGAAGTTTAAATAACACTAAACTTATATTTATAGTAAAGTAGGTGATAATTAAAAAATTAAAAATTTTCCGGAAGTTGTAAAATTACGTGTCATTTCTTACAAATTAGTACTCTTCTCTTAATTAATTTTAATTGAAGTATAAGTACTCTCTTCTAATTAACAGAGTTTTTCTGTCTGAGGAGACAAACCTGATAATTTTTGGGTTTCTACTTTTGTTGACATTTCCTTTGAGTTGTAATTTATTGTGTTTGACTTTCTACTTGGCGGCTTTGTTTTGATGCTTTTTCGGACACTACTTTTCGCAATTTTTGACGAGACTATAATTACAAGTTTTGGATTTATTTTGATGTTAAGTAATAGCTTTTACGGATGTATTAAGCTTTAATGTAATATAATTAGATTACACACAACGTGTGCGTGTATGCATAACGTGATTTAGCATTTTGATAGTACAAGAATTCTCAAAAAGTGGAACAACTGAAAATTCTGTAATAATAATTAATAAAAAAAAATAAAATTTTATTATTATATTATGGCAATTAAAGCAAATTAATTTACGTGCAAATTGTTAGGTGCACTTTCGAAAGATTTTCTTATTTTTAAGGCGTGTCAATTACTAGAAGAATTTGTATCCATTTTTAGCAAAAGTTTTAATGTGCACAGGTCAAAAATTTTCTTTGATATATTGTTTCTAATATTAGAAAAATAAAATAAAAATAAAATTCTTATGTGGTAAGATGAGTGAAGGTTAATCTGAGTATAGGTATTGCTTACAAATACCACAGAAAATATACGTAAATAGAATATAAAACAACCAAAAAAAGAACAAACCATGAATTACATAATAAATGACTATAAACAGTAATTTGATCACAACATTTTTGACCTAATTCCAGGTGCTTATGGCGAAGACGTCAAAGAAAAGAAAAAACCAGAGACGGTTCAGGACCTTTTTAACACCTCCTCCTGCATCCCTAGACCCTACAGGTGTCCTCACCGACAAATTCAATTTTTCTTATACACAAGGTACGTCAAGTCTAATTTCTAATAAATTCCTGGCGAAAGTGTGGTTAATCACACATATGAAGTCATGGAACATCCGATAAAACACAGCATTTTAATGTCCTATTAAATAAAAATTACTGTTTTTAAACGGCTATTGCTATTCTACTTCAATGAACAATAAAAACTTTGATAGTGAAATTAACACATTTGAAGGCGGACSCAGAAAAATCCGGAGCTGATAGACACAACCAAAGAAGAGTCGTTATACAATAGTCAATTTAATAGAATTAATCCAACAAAAATTGTGATTCATGGGTTTGGCGGTGGAAGGAATTTGTCACCTAGTACTGATATGAGAGACGCCTATTTCTACAGAGGAAACTACAATATTATCATTGTGGATTACGGGACTCTAGTCCGGGAGCCATGTCTAAAGGTATTTACCATAAAAAATCAAAAAATGGTACAACTTCTTTTSTGTAATAGCAAATGGAATGGGCGCCCCGCTTCTGCGCTAAATGCATCGCCCAACTCATCAATTATTTAACCCATCATCCCAGAGGTGTAAGAGCCGATGACTTGCATTTAGTCGGCTATAGTGTCGGTGCTCACATTGCTGGTCTCGTTGCAAATTATCTCAATCCCATCGAACACGGGAAACTGGGTCGAATTACCGGTAATGGAAAAAAATCTACACTTTCACCTTTATCTCACTCACAATTCCAGGCTTGGACCCCACTATCGTATTCTACATGGGCAGTAACAGATCGCGGGATTTGGATTATACAGATGCTCATTTTGTTGATGTTTTACACACAGGGGCCGGAATTTTGGGACAATGGGGGCCCACAGGACATGCGGATTTTTATATAAATGGAGGATCGAGTCAGCCGGGATGCGGCAGTGATACCATTTTCAGTAAATCAATATTTTGTCCAAAGTTTTTCTTTTTTTGAGAAAATTATTTTCAGAAACCTTAGCTTGCGATCATACTAAAGTAACACCGTATTTTATTGAGTCTATTGTTACAAAAAAAGGATTTTGGGCGTACCCTTGTCCAACCTTGTTAAGTTTTATGACGGGTTTTTGTAGCCCTAAAGATGAAGAATATGTATTAATGGGCGAACATGTAACACATGAGTAGGTTTTTAATCAGTATTTTGTTTTCTTTTTAATTGGATTTTTAGGGCTCGTGGGATTTATTACGTGAGCACAAATCCGCATCCGCCTTATGCACAAGGGCCTCCAAAAAAACAAATTGGAAGAAGAGGTCTCCTCAATCGACTGTTCTAAGTTTTAGGTACTTAAAAATGCCAAAACCTGAGAGTAAACTAAAATTGCAAATAAAAATTGCAACTACGTATGTGGTGCTGGCGCAATTTATTGCGTCTTTCATGATTAGCCAGTAGTTTTTTTTGTAATTAAAAGTTTGCCATTAGGTACTAGAACTAATAATTTATTGTAGTTCTTAGACGTACTTGTAATATTTTTGTTAATAAAATTTGAAAAAACCTTGTGTTTTTTTTCACTAGTGTTCGGGGAAAAATAAGCGGAACATTGCCTCAGTAACAGAATTATTTATTATACATTTTTATTCTTACATTGATCTGTAAACAATCACATTTTAAAGATTTAACACATCAATGATATTCACTAATTCAAAAAAAGTTAAACGAAACTATTCAGAAACTGTCAACATTATATTATCTGATAGTGATGTCCGTAGCATGCAGTTTGTTAATTATTTACGCCGTATATCACTTAAGTCCTATTAAAACACATCGATATGCAAGGTTTTAAAAAACATTAAATTTAACATGAATATTTGCATCATTTATTGCCTCTACACTACTGCTCTCAACGCGAATAAAATTTATAAAAACGTTGGATGTTTTAACAAATTTAATACACGTCAAGAATGGTAAGAATTGAAAAAACAACAGTAAATGTAGTCTAAAAGCAGGTATTGCTCATTCAAAACCAAAAACAGTTCAACATCGCTCGAAAAAATCGTAATCACGCAAAGAAGAAATACATTTTTATACATTTACGCAATTATTGACAAGTTAGAGAGAGACAGTGAAGAAGTAGAAGGAACATAGAAAACATCTAACACCCATTTAATTTTTACACGATTTCATACAAGTCTTTCACAATTTTAGCGACAAAATATATTGTGTTGTAACAACACTGCAAATAAAATATATAATCAAATGTAATTTTTTTGTTACTACATCTATTTAGAAGTTACAGTAAGTCTTACGTCATTTCCAAAAACTGACAAATTTACAGTTTTTCGAAACAAAGTAGTAACACTTCTAGTCTAATTTCGCACCCGTGTACAACATACATATCTACTCTCGTTTTGTACCTTTATGCAACTTTTATACCAACTCGCACATTCATTCWGTATAACTAGTTATTATCGCCATTATTATCAACGATTTTTAGTGGGATTTGAAATCCCACTGTATTATTGTCAACACAGCCTTGAGGGTAAGTTTCCTCAAATACTTAACATCCTATAAATATTATAATGTATGATGAATTGAAACAAAATCGAATTATAAACATGATTATGTACAACATAACGCAACCCTGGAATACAGAATCTTGTTACAATGGAGAAATTTTCAAGAGAGAAATGTGACACTAAGATGTAGTTTGCAAATAGACCGGCGGAACTACTGTGTATTTTCAAGAATAATAATAGGAAATAAAAAAGACTACTTTTTTTGCTGCGTACATCAAAGCGGTAAATGTGAAGAAAGTCGTAGTCCTCTCTGAAAATATCCCAAAATTTTCAAATATGTAGAATACTAAAATATAGGTAATTTATACAAAGTGGCTATAAATGATTTTCATCTAGCCAGCTGTGAATTTTCCATGTAAAATAAAAAATGCCGCTTTACGAAAATAGGGGTACCTACTTGTTTTAACTCAAAATTAAAAAAATTGCCGTTTACTAAGCGTCCACTTCGAAAAGAGACTTCAATTATAAACTTGTTTTCTTCCAAAGTATACATCATTATCAATTATTATTGGAAATTAGTTGAAACAATAAAAGTTTAATTTAACAACCATTTATTATTAATTAATAAGTGACACTAATGACAGAACTAGAGATTTCAAAAAATTAGAGCGGCACAAATAAAGTTACATGCAAAAAAATTCCAAAGCTGGCTAGATGAAAATCATTTATAACCACTCTGTATACCATAACATAAATTACTTCATCTATGAATATATCAAGTTTTATATTCTTATTGGTAGTTTGATTTTTTATAGATTTTGATTTTATTGAAACAAATTCATAATAATTCATAAAAAAAGTTAATCTATGATAAATGCATTTTATAATTATTTTCAGTGGTAACAAAGTTTTATACAAATTGACAATTTTTTTTCTATCTACCTATAAGTAGGTCAGTTTGTTAAAAAAAGTGCTTCATCTAACAATTGCAGTTATTTTACAAAATATTTTCCAAAAAGTCATTTCAAAATTTCAAGTTACATGCTTCAATTGTGTGGTAGCTTTCTATACAATGGTTTTTATTCTATTACTAAATTTCCCTACGACACCTTTTTAATTGTTAAATAACTGTCAATCATAAATTGTAGGTAAGTACAAAATAAGAAATAATTTTTATTACCTGTTTGTTTATTTCATATTTAGTATTTTGTTGAAATAATTGTTACTTGTATTACAAAAGAGGAAAATGTATCTTTTCCTTTCGCAGGTGAAAGTTACTGCCCYAGACTTGTCGAGGGCAGTGACCACTCAGGGAGGAAAAGACACTTTTCTCCAGTGTAATACATATAATTTTTCCTACGATCCAACAAGAAAACTTTCAAAAATAACAATTTTTCTTGATATTCCAGTTTTGCTATTAAATTTAGCAGCATGTTTTCCGTTTCTATGAGGGAAGTAAAATTTTCGGTGTGTCATATCGCTTCTAAAAATTCATGACCGGACTGCGGTTGTAATTTGTAATTAAAAAAAAATATTGCTAATAAAGTTTTCCTACAGAAAAGATAAAAGTGCCTAAGACAAGATTTATTAAAAATTTTAACAAACTTGTTCAATTATTAGTCAAGATAATCAGATTTTTTGTATAGTGTTGTGCAAAATTAGATCATTATTTTAAATGATTTTTTGACCTCTAATTTCGACGAACCATTTGATGAGTTTTATATTAAATTTAAACGTTTTTGCAAAAATTTTAAATATTGAAAATCCTGCTACGTGCGTTTTCTACCGCCGTAATGCGGTCGTCATCTTTTTTGAGACTCTTTTGACCAAGGATTATTAATTTGACCATTGCCGCAATCCGGTCCTGCCCAAAATTTTTACCTGCCTGAGAGGTTACATACATTTTTAATTTAATTATAACAGATGAGGGGGGGGGGTAATTTTTACCTTCCGGGGAGGTAATTGGCAACTTTCCTTTCGGAAATTCGGATGGAAAAACTTACTTTCTGTTAGGCTCGTAGGAAAATTTTTTAATCACGAATAAAATTATTAAAAAAGTATCGTCGGTCGCATTCTCCAATCTACTTTCTAAATTTAATAAGTGCGATCAAAAACGGTACCGTGCATATAAGTATCCTGAGCTTCTGGTTGTACCTGTTCCTGTCTGAATGGATTACTCCCCGATAAAAAGGGATTTCCGCTAGGTACAAACGGCACCGACGGCGGCGGTTGTTGTTGGGGTGGTTGGGGTCTTGGTGGTGACGGTTTATCCACAGATCCATAGTTATTTTTGCCACTCAACTGGCGTTGCAGCAAACCATTATTTTGATTCTAATTATTATTATAATAATTATATTGAAAACAATAAGTTGAGAAATATTACCGGAGCTTTCACCGGAACTGCTTCATTCATTTGATTCCACTGCTTCTCTTCCTCGGCACGTGGATCGGCCCAATCTTGAAGCTCACCAGAAGCAAAAAATGCGTAAAAGATGATGCCTGCGTAGTGGATCATAGCAGAGAGGATGAAGACGTATCGCCATTGCTCGCGGGTCTGAAAGTGAAAAGAGAATGTCGGTTCTTAAGTCTAGAACGCTAAAAATAATTTCTTTTATTTCATACGGAGAAATTTTTGCTGTTTATTTTAGCACTTGATTTTATTTTATTTAGTTCACTCAAAACGCAATAATGAAACATAAAAGAAATGTAATTTTTACTTTCACGGCTGTAAGTTCGCAGACCAGTATATCATGCCACCCTCGCTTTCACACACGACTGGCTCGATCACCGCCGCTAAAATGAACTCTCTGTATGCATGTCATTTCGCCCTTCATATTTCTGGATATGATACCATTGTTCAGTGGGTATTCGAAGGCGTCCGTGCGAAACAGCAACAGCAAAGACGTCAAATTGCATTATTCTAGAGCGGCGATTGCAGTTTGAAACTTACCCGATTTCCGTCGATGACTAAATGAACGACGTAGGGACAAATACACCCAGCGATGGTGCCAATTCCGTTCGAAATGCCCATTAGGATACTAGCATATCGTGGTGCTATGTCCAAATGGTTAACGTTGAATCCAGAAATGGCAAAACCACTAAAGGCTACGCCGATCGTCAGCGCTGTCATACCCTGCATAACTGTATCCGAGTAGGCCATAATTAGAAAGAAAGTGGCCTCCATGCCAAAACCACCACAATTAAAGAGTTTTCTCACTTGGGTGGTGTTTAGAATTCCTTTTCTTCGAAGACGATCAGCGAGAATGCCTCCACCGGGGACGATTATTGTCATTAGTAAATGCGGGAGAGCCCCCATGAAGCCATTCTAGAGTTAATTTTGTTATATTTTATTGTTGCAAGAAATGGATTTACCTCTTCGATGTCGACTCCATAAGCATCCTTAAAGTACATGACTTGGAACAGAACTAACAGATAAAAATTCCAAGATCTGCAAAAATTTGCTACAAATATAGCATAACAAGGCAGCGAAGTAAAAAACGTCTTCCAGGGAGTGTTGGAGATGTTGGGTGTGACATAATTTTGATTAGTGCTCCCTAAAGAATTTTCTATGTAGTAGAGTTCTTTTGGATCGATAGCTGGGTGGTACGAGGGTTTTTCAAACACCAACCACAGCCATGACAAGTACCATATTAATCCAAAAATTCCATAGAAATAAAAGGGAGATAAGGGACCTAAACGTTTCACTAATTCACTTGATATAGGCATCGAAAACATCACTCCTGCATAACAGCCGCTAAATGCTAAAGTTGCTAAACGGGAACGTTCAAGAGGAGGCGCCCAGAATCGCATAATACCGTGACAGGCTGGATATGTGACCCCCTGAAATAATTTCCTTGCATTTTCAACCTACTTGGAATTAGAAATATTACCTCCACTAAACCTTGCATCACCTTAACGATAATGAGCATATTTGAATGAAAGTAAATTGAGGGAAGAAATAAATTCAGAAATGATGATGTGCCAATAGCTAAGCCAAAAAGCTTGTTTGCTGGGTAAGCCGCAGCAATTAGACCTCCCGGTATTTGGGTGATGAAGTAACCCCAGAAAATTGCAGAGTCCACTCCAGCAGTCGAGGTCTCATTCTACAAAATATCTCAATCAAGTTATAACAATAAACTTTTTTGTTAAAAATAAACACAAAAAAATATAATTTATAAGTTTGAAATAACTAAATAAACAACAAACAAAATATAATAACAATGTTAGTTCAATGTTATTTTTTTAATAATATGTATGTTGATTATGTATTTACTAAAAGTTGCACTGGTAACATTTTACTTTAGATACTAATTGTATTAAGTCTGCTAATAGTATAGTATATTAAGCATCAAGGTAAGGACATTTTACCGATCGAAGCCAATTATTGTCTGAGATCGGTAGTCCTTAACGTTCGTGATGCTTATAACGTTTTTTGCACGATAGAAACCTTTTTACCTTGATCTTAATAAATTATTTGAATAAAAATATCAATTGTGTCATTTCATTTTTACCTAAAGTGTCTCCACGGTGTTTCACGAATTGTTATAAATTGAATGAATTATTGTTAACAATAGTTGAGGTTGATGTTGAGGCCTAGACAAAAGTTTGTGGATAGTTTGAAAAAATACACCTTTGAAAAAAACAGCTTAGAACATTTCATGAGTTTTCTCAAGAAAAATGTGTGATTCAGACTCCGAATGTGTACACAGTGAAATCGAACAAACTTGGAACATTGGTTGTTCATCACAAATTCCTGAAAAATCAAGATTTTGATATGAAAATGCCTAGAAAATCTTTGAAAGCTGGTGTGAGGAAAAGAGTTGTGAAATAGTAAAAAAAATACTGAAAAAAAACTACCAAAAAAGCCGGTGGAATTGTAATTAATAATTGTATTGGTTGTACGTTTAATTTTAATATAAAATAATTTGTTGGGTATATAATGTTTATAATAATGTTTATGCTATCAATAAATGTTTTGTGGATTTTATCGGATTAATGTTTGAAATTACTTACGTTCTAAAACGGTAAGTAAATTACTTACCGTTCTGTTTATCAAAGAAACCAGTACCGGTCTCGAAACAAACGAGGTAACTAACTAAAAGCGTTCTATCGTGCAAAAATGATATTAAAACATCTCTTGTACAAGACTGTAATTCGGAATAAAAAAACTATTATACTATTAATTTATTATTATACAGTGAGCGGCTAAATTATACAATAATTTTATTAATTAAAATTGCAATTTTTCTTTTGACAAAAATGCTCGAACAGGTCAATATTCTTTTTAAAAAATATAAAATTTTCAAGTGATTTAAAATTGTATGTTTGTTTTTTGTTGATATTATTTCACTTTTTTGGTGATTTTTTTTCGAAAATTACGTAATATTTATTCACAATCACTAATGTCATGCCGATTGCTAACCCAAAGGTTGGAAAATCCATCATTAAATCCCGTGAGCAGGAATATCAATTGATCTCTTGGGCGGTAATATACAGGTTTGCCAATGTTAATATATAATAATATTTTGCTAAATTAATATTCAATTGCTTCTGTAGCAGTTTTTCCTACTTCTGGGAGAGAACTACTCTGTTGTAACAATTTCAATATCAGATTCACACATAATTATTTGAATATTTTTTTTGACATTTCTGAAATGTCAAAAACCAGACGCAGTTTGGATGGCCAACCACGTTTGGACCTTAAAATTTAAAATTTTATTTTATTCAAATTACCCTTTGTGCTTTATCCGATCTCAGAGTAATGCCATATTTACCACCTCGTTTTCAATGGAGTATTAATATTTTAGTGTTGTCATTTCAACAATTTAAAAATGTATCGAATTGGCTAAAAAAACTATGGGTTTCCATTTAAAAAAAGGTCGATTATATCATTACTCAAAAACGGAAAGAGTGTAAAATTTTATAAAACTGCAAATTGTGTATTTATAAAAGAAAATTGACCTGTTCGAACATTTTTGCCAAAAAACAAAATATTTTCAGTTATAATAAGATTATTCCATAATTTTGAGGCTCACTGTAGTTATATAGAATTTCTATTGTGAATTGCTGAAAAAGGCTTAAACTAGTTTAAATGAATATTAAACTTTTACAGTAATTAAGATTTGATGAACTCTAACGATAGTGAATAGTGGAACCACACACTATTTACAGAAAGATTCTGTAATATGACTGAAATAAGTTTATGTTTATCTTGTATACCAAGTGAATAGAAAGTATAGAACCAATCCTCTAAACTGCTTATTTTTTTTTTTTTAAACTAAGTAATTGATGAATAATAAAGTAGGCACTATTAAAATTATGACGTTTTGTAAGAATAAATTTTTTAGATTTTTTTTGTGTTTTGCAAAATTTTTATTTTTTTTATTTTTTCCAAATGGCAACCCACTGTAAACCTTTGTTTTATAAAAACTATAATCTAAGGATTGTACCTACATATCTACATTTTATTCAATTTTTATGGAAAAAGAAATTTTTATAAGTTGCCAATTTGAAAAAAAAATCGCATAATTCAAAATTAAAACAAAACTGCGTTCTTAAAACACGATCACATTTTTTATAGCACTATAATTTTTACTAATTACTATTTTCTGAAGGCAATGATTGATTTTTTAAATAACCACTCGGTTCCATACTGTTTATTCACTTTTGTACATAATACGATAATAATAATTCATTAATTATTATTACTATTATTATTTTTATTTTATTCATTTATTTGAATTTAAATGTAAATGTCTTTTAAGTTTATTTTATTTTGACCACATTCATTGAGAACAAGTACAAATTTCATTCTTATCACTGTTTAAAATGAGCATGAGCACAAATTGTTTTTTATTTTTATCTTTGTTATCGCTAGAACAAAGCATCAATTAGAAGTTTCTGCAGTTTGAAAGTGTGAACGATAATCTCAAGTGTAATTAATAAAAGTCCCTTAATTTTTTGTTTGTATTGTTACCGGAAACTGAAGTTTGACGACCCCCATGCTGGTCCTCATTCCGAACATAATAATAAAACCTAAACAACTAAAAAGCGCAACAGTGGCTCTTTTGGATAGACACGGACATTCAGGCCGGATGTACTTGTCGATGTGTCTCAAAGGAGGTGGATCATAATCCGGCATACTTTCCGGTGAGCTGACGTCATCTGCCCCTTCGCTGCCTTTTTTGACCGGAACCCCAAACTGATCATGTTGTACATTCCTGCGTGACAAGAAAAATCCAATTAATCCATCATTAAAAAAAATATTTTCATGTCGATAATAAATGCGTGACAATTTTTTTATTTGACAAAACTAGCGATTACGAACGATGTATCTTTTAAAGCATTTTATGATAAATGTCCCCTAAAAGACTTGTATAATGCATTTTAACGCCGGCTTTCATAACATGTAATGACTAGCTCAGCATTGTGTAGGGAAGCATGTTAATGTATTTTAGTCATCAGCAAAAAGGGGAGAGATAGAGATGGAGATAGGGAAGACCCTGATCGAAATGGCCACCCATTAATAACTGTGTCGTGACAATTTGACGAATGTCTCTCGGTACACCCCCTAGATGCGGATGGCTCTGTGATATAATTATACAAGCGGAAAATGTAAACAAGATTTTTATTTTTTCAGAGATTTGCGATTTTCTATAAAAGCGGATATTATTTCATCGATTTGGGTGTAGTGTTGGATTCTAGAAACYGAATTGTAAGTGGCATATTTCATTTCTGATGCGAAATACGTGACCGAACCCCAATAGAGCTTCTTATTTGTAATCCAACGTTTGGTGTTCTGAATTGATATGTACTCGAGGCCCCCGGCTCCAAAGCCGGAGGATATAATAATATAAAGACTACAGTACAAATATCGATACTGATTTTTATTTTCCAGTACCAATAAGCAAAAACATATTTTACTATTTATTCAAAAGTAGCTCTTACTGGTATTATATTCTTACTAATTTATTTGTTTATAAAATATAATTTTAAAATCAATTACTTATTCTTAAATCTGATTAATTAAAGTAAATAACAATCTATTAATTTTTCCAAAGTTGTATAAAAAAGTATAAAAGTCATGCTTTTCAACCAATTAAGAACACAGGGATGTTCCGTTATTGTTGTTATAAATTTCAATTGGTGTTATCTAGAATATTCAATTTTTAGACAAAAGTTTCCTATAAACATGTAGGTACCAAAAAAACCAAAATAGTTAGGGTTTTTTTTACTACATATCTCTACACTATAGGACGACCCTGATTAAAAATTTCGACATTTGTTCAACATCAATCCTTATTTGTTGTTATTTACAGGGTGCTCCGTTATTATTGTTACAAATTTAAGCAGAAGAAAGAATATTCAATTTTAAGACAAAAGTTTCCTATGAACATGTAACGAAAAATGTTATGCAAGGGAGCTACACCCCCTCAAAAGGATGCGCCTTTTACAGTTTTTCCCAATATGTTCGAAACCATTTTAGAAAAAATTACAAAATTTGGTACAGATAATAACCTTTATACACCTAAACTAATTCAAAGATAAAATGTAGAAATTTTTAAATAGGGGCTTTCAGGGTCAAAAGTACTCTAACTCTTTGGCCTGTGGTTTCTTGCCACTTTCAGCAACGAAATTCTAAATTTCATAGTTTTTCATAAAAAAAGTCTTTTGCGTTTTTCCGATAGAACTTAGCGATTTTGAGGAATTCGTTTAAGTGTATAGAGGTTATCAGCTGTATCAAATTTTGTAATTTTATCTATTCTGAAATATTGGGAAAAACCCAAAAAACGCACCTAAACATGTTTATAGGAAACTTTTGTTTTAAAATATTCTATCATCTATTTAAATTTTTAACAATAAAAACTGAACACCTCTTGCACCCCTTTCAAGAGATGTAGCTCCCTTTCTTTTTTAAACATGTTAATGTATATAATGTAATGTGTAAAAAATGTTGCCTGTTTAAATTTTTAGCAATAAAAACTCTCAATTCTCAAAATCTTTAAATAATTTTTAAAGTTGAACTTTTATAAAGCCATAATGTTCATTAAAACTAAAAACACATTTTCTAATTTCGTTAAAAAAAAAACAGTATCTGATGTCCAAATCTAATTATTCTTTGCATAACACGTTTTTGGATATTAAAATAGTTTAAATTCTATAATAACATTTTTTTAAAGACTTCTAAATATTGTTAATTTCTGTTGTTATTGTAATTGTTATTGATTTCAGCTGTAAACGACTTTTCGTTCGATGTAAATTCATAGTTCATTCTAGAAAATCTGATTTTAATAAAGTGTTTCTTTTATTAATAACAAAGATGTTGAGTCAATAAAATTTTTGTTAAATTGCTAAATAATACAAAAAATATGGTTAATGTTAAAAAAGTGTTGGTAAATAATTTCTAGTGATTTTATGCCATTGGTCCATTAATCTTAGATCTCTGCACCGAAACATTACACTGAATTTAGGGATGAATCTCTGAAAATAGGGAGCATTTTCGTTGAAAAATAATGCATCTCGGCGCCCCTGCTTCGTCGTCTTGGTGCGAAGTAGACAAGTAGATGGAGTAATATCTGAGACCACTTCACGTCACTTGCCGGCTTCTACTCGGTATTCATGGAGTAAGTGCGACGCAATCAGAGGAATCATATCACAATCGAAGTGACTGATCGATCGCCTCCCTCCCAGCAGATGCAAATTAAAAAATAAAACCCCCTTCTCTCACCCCGTTTTCCAACTAAGAAAATTTTATTCAAACGTGCCTGAAAGTCGCGATGCGAGCTTTGTACCAAACTCTTCCTAAACCTTAAACTTCGATTAAATTACAACCCTCACACAAATTAAACAATTTACCGTTCCTTTTTGCTTCGGTTTATCTCAATTTAGGGATTACCGCGGCTCAATTACACGTTTTTTCCTTTTTAGCTTCTTTTCACGTCACCTGCTGCTCACAATTCAACAGGTTGCGCCAGGAATGTATTTTATTATTTAACTCCCCTAAGAGGGCGAAAGCACGTGGAGCTGACTCACCTAAACGTCATGTATTGAACTGATTTTCACTAATTAAGCACGGTTTTGACTTTCGCGAATGATGTTCCGGAGAGACCGGATTCGTACTGAGAGGTCCGTGACAATAAAGCAAGTCCGGTTGCCCGGAGTTCTCGCTCCTGACTGAAAGTCACGTGTCAGCGGCACTTCTGCAGCATCACTAAATCTATTTTCAGGTCAATTATTTTGCGTGCTTTCAGGGAAAAAAAAATTGCTCGTTCTAATTTGATGTAATTGAAATACGAAAACGAGGTCGGTGTTTGAAGCACAAAATTTGATTAAATATAATTTCTGGTCAGGTGTCTCTACTTTAAGGCTAATTTTAAGGTGATGGCCTATCATCAATCACACAATAAACTGGAAATTGGTCGACGTGAAGATGATGAGCGGTGAGGGTGGAAAGTTTTCTCATTAGTCTTCATAACTTAACGTCAATTAGCAAAACACTCGATAAAATCAAGTCTTGCAATTGTGAGTTAACTTGAAATGCGAAATTCGTTTCGTGATTCTAAACAATAGTCGATACAGCCGACCGGGTCTTAGTGTTGGGGGATATTAAACACCGATATGAAGAGCGGTGTTGACTTTGGAGATGGATTCGTCTATATGCGTGTTGACTAGTCAAATATTTGTTCGCTTCTGAAGCAGAGCGCCAATATCGAGGCCTCAGGGTCAAAACATTTATCTTTAGCAACTCGCCGAGATCATTTTTGCACCGATTGGAATTAAAATTTTGTCTCGATTGATTTTTTTTTTCGACTAAGCCATGAATTATCGTCCGCTTAAATCAATTTTTGTTAATTCCCTTCTCGGGCTAAAGCCGCTGTCAGTCTTCGATTCGGCGAAAATCGGGTAGTGAATCTGTAGTAATCCATCAGGAAATGATGTGAACGGGTCTTTCCGTAGCCATTGAAGTGTGACCGCGATAGGCATTGAAGCCGATCTCCTGGGAAATCAGCTAAACCTCATCGTTGCAAGCGCATTTTTCTCAGATTTAACTAATGGCTTTTCAAATTATTTACCTTTTCAACGAAACTGATTCAGTCAGGAACGTTTAATAAAATTGCAATTACGATTGAAATTTACTCGAAAAATATCGAATTTAATTTGCGATAGAAAGAGATGGTTTAGAGCGAAGTGAAGCTCCACTAATGGAAAGCGAAGCCCCCCAAAGATGCAAACTAATGTCGGGAGTCGACAGTAAATTGAGTTACATTCATACAATGCACTGTTTACATCGAGGGTTTTTAGACTTGAAAGTACTAGAGGGTAACCGCGTAATTGCTATGTCGAAGAGAAAGCGATACTTTTATTGCTAAATTATAAATTATAACTATTCTCAAGTAGAAATTAAAATCAAAATAAGGATAATTTTCTTCAAACTAATAGATACGGCTTTTTGCATTTCTCTCCAATAATAGTCCTTCAGTATAGTGTTTACATTTTCCATTGTCTTTGGTAACATTTTTCTGTTGCACAAACTACAAGTTTCTGAGGAAAACACAAAGTGTTTAAATTCATAGAATTTTAGGAACACAAACAAAAATGTTTTTTTTGTATAGCTTCCCAAAAGTAGCTAGAACACATTTAAGTCCCTAAAATGTTTTTTTTTTTCAAATTCAATAATAAAATACTTAAAATACATTTTTACAAACAAAAAAAAACAATGTAGTTACTAGGTGGCATGGCATAAAAGCTCACTATTTTTGAGAAATATTTGCTCTGATCACATCAATCATACATAATGTTGAATGTGTTTTTGGGAGCTTTAACAAAAAAATATTCTTTATAACACGTACCTAAAAAGATTTTACGGATTCATCTTGCCTCGTCCTAAAACAACAACAGTTTATCTGCAAAAACTGTATTTTATGTACTTGGCAAAAAAATATATATGTATTATTATCAGATTATCACGTATGTAGCAAATTTTTAACTTGTGTGTTTTTTTACTTTATTTTACCATTTTATTCTTTTTATTATTAAATTAAAATAAATCTGACTAAATAACAAAATAACTAATAACAAAATTTCGTCATCGATTTCTTTGTTGTTGCTCCTGGTTGAAAAAGAATAATACCTTGGAAGTCTGCATACTTTTTGAATTGTGATAAATAAAGCGATTTTGTGAGAAGAAGAAAGCCCGTTAAAAGTAAATTCATTAGATAAG